GTAATTAACTAGAGTCATTTTTGCCCCAGTCATTAAATACTTCTCCAATCCACTATTTTTCTTCCTATTCAACAAGCTACCTTAACCTTAACTCTTACTATACTTGCAATAATACTTTTTTCCCTGAAAATATGTTCTTCCCAACTCATTTTCTCTAAGAGGTTATTGTGTTTAAATTGTTATAAAATTAATAACAAAAACAATGAAAAAGCCAAATTCCTTTTTTTTGTTTGTTTTCAAATTTCATTCCCACCCTTCAATTCCTTTTCTTTCTGTTTTACTCAGGCACAATTTCTAGGAAATCTTTCCTCTGGTCTCATTCACATCTGCTCAAACTCTTTCACTTTTTCTTTATACCTTCCAACCCCTTCCTATCCATTATCTCTTCCATAATTTGACCTCAACATATCTTTTCAACTATTTGTTCCATAATTCATCCTAAGTGAGCCCCTACTCCAAACTGGTCCTTCACTGTTCCCCAAATATGGTGAGCTCTCTCCAGCCCCCATAGCTTGGCACTCACTGTCCTCCCATTCTACAATGCTTTTCCTAACTTCTTCAAGAAACCCAACCTGCGGCTGTCCTCTACAAGCTGTTGGACAGAACTATGGCTATTCTACTTTTACTCTTCAGCTTCCTCCAACCCCTATCTTTCCTGTTTCGTTGTCATTCTCCTCTATGCACTCCAAAGACTTCCTCTTGTTGCAAACCATGGACAATCCTTTTCCTCCTTGATGATTTATATGCTGCTTTAATTCCAAACTTTCCATTATTCTTTCTTTATCCTGGCCTTTATCTTAGTTTGGTTCATGCTGCCTTCGAGAAGGAACTATTCTTTGATTATTCTTTTGCCTCATTTCTCCATGAGCATCCTTCAGGCCTACAACAAGTGGACAAATCTTTCACATGAAATATTTAGGCTACATTTTTAATTCTATACCCTTATTTCCTGGGCCAATAATAGAATGGTCTCCATAAAGGACAGCCATTCCTTTGCTGAATGGAGGAAATGATTCCTCCTCTATTCAAATGGCCCTGCTGACTAATTAAAGAAATATGTCAAAACAACTCCCAAGAAGAACCCATATGTCATCCAAAGAATTAAATGTTTTGAAAATAAGAAGAGCCACTTGGTCCATTTTTCAATAGAGATTGAGAACAAAGGAAAAGAAAGAGATGAATCAGAATTCAAGATGCAATAAATATAGACATTTCTAGCTAACTGTAAGAAGAAAATATTTAAGCCGAGGCCTCTGGTAAGGCAAAGGCCATCATGTATGTGCCTAAGGGTTTTACCACCTTTGAAACATTTGCCACTAGCTTTGATCAAAGTTGAGCCCTCAAAAGGGAAAATGAGACATAAAAAGTTCGGGGAATAAGAATGATAGGGAGTGGATAGAAGGCTCTGGCATGATACAAAAAGTTCTTTAATATGGTATGCTTCAAAAACAGTGGGGAGAAGAAAAAGAAAACAAACAAACAAACAGCATGCACTTGAAGATGTCAACGCTTTGTGGGAGTGGATTTACTAAACTACAAGGCACTATTCCAATGTAGGCTATTTATTATTATTCGACAGATGTGCAATTATGTCTCACCCTCTGCCGAGTGATAAATGGTATTAACTGTGTCCCACCACCTCTCCCAAACCTACAATGACAGAAGTAGTTAGAGAAAAACAGAACATTGGGATGGAAGGGCTTATTTCTTCTCTTAAATCCACATTGCCTACTTGGTAACTGAGCTCCTGTACACCAAAGTAGTAGAAATGAGAGGCAGAAGCAGAATGCTGTCTCAACTTGGCTGTCTGCCTTCAAGGATTAAATAAAAATGCGTGTTTATAGAAGTGGAACAGCTGCTTCAGCTAGTTTGGATACCCACTTTTGAGTCCTCAGGATGTTCTATTTTTCTAAGTCCACTACTCCTACAGTCTCTGAAAATTATCAGACTAAAGAGTAAAGATACATAGATGGTTTGGGTCCTAGGTCTCCTGGAGACAACAGAATTACTTCCGCCTTCAAAACCTGGCATAGCAGTTGAAGTAGGCACCATCACAATATTTCCATTCTTGGGCTATATTTTTTAAATGGCTAGAAATTCTTCATTATCGTTTCACTTAAATACTTGATGCTGTGCCACAGTTGAATAAGCCATATATATACACATATATCTTATATATGTATACACACAAAGCCATAAATAAAGCTTCTCACTTTGTAGGCACTCAATATTAATTTCCTTCACTCTTGTTTTTATATTGAAGTTCTATGTTCCAGCATATCATTTTACAGATATAAACAAATATTTCTGCTATAGTGCAAATTGTGATATAATAGAATATACGATACGATATGACATGACATGACATGGGAGTGACAAGAATAGATGGCATGTTAACTGAGTCTTGGGCTACTAGTAATTGGTCTGGTGGAAACTGGAGCATATAAAGAAAAGGAACTCAAAGTCTAAGGGATTTGCATTTCGAGAAACAGTAAAGATTTCTTCTGAAATTGAAGCAAGTTGATACAAGAAAGGGTAATGTAAATTTAAATGGAAACTATTTATTACTTGTTTTACTTTTCCTTAAAAAAATAGGGACAGGGAGAAAATTTAGAGCAAAGCAGAGAAATTAATTTTTACTAACAATCAAATGCAAAAGAAATTATAAATATCTGTCAAAAACAAGGCTAAGTGAACTATTTTTGAAGCAACAAAAAAAAAAGACCCCTGGGCAAGAAATGTTACAGTCATCCTCTTTCTAGGTCGGAACTCTCTTAGAATGAGACAAAGAAAAATCCGGGCCTGGAATAAGAGGAAGACATTAGGAATCCTTTCACCACACTGACAGAGATTTGTTCAACAAACAGACGAAGAGTCAGAGTAATCAGATATCACAGGAAAAGGTAAGGAGAATAAAAAAGACTGAGGGGAATAAATGAAAAATTGTGACTCTAGAGTAAAGGTTGATACATTTTAAAAATATCCATGAGGTTAAGTTAGGTGGAAAGAAAAAATAAATTATTAGAATATGATAAAGGAAAGAAAGAACCATTCTTCATGTTTCTCCACCAGAAAGCATTTAGTATGCTGCACAAAAATTAAATTTGATATTTTAAGGTACCTGAACAAGCACTAAATGAATTCTGGGCCAAAATAAAATTTTAAATTCCTGATACCCACTCTATATAACACAAAGCAGTGGTGGTGGGGGGTGAATGCTTCTACATAAAAATAAATGACTTGTTTTGGTTTACCTTTATAAGGCATAAATGGAGCGCATGGTAAAAGTATACGAATAGAAGCCAAGAATGCTAATTGTGTTTTTTTAAAAGAATAGAAAATCATGAAGAAAGGATCACAGAAACTACACCAATGTCATTAAAATATAATTGGACTTGCAGGAACAATTACTGTGCTGTACTGTAAGGGGAGCTGTTGGCACATAAGAGCAAAGCACACATATGAGCTCATCAGCCGGCCTTGGCAAGACCCACTTCCAGCTAGAAGCAGTCATGTTTCAACACCTCTGATTCCCTAATGCTGACAAGCTAAACAACTTGTTTTGTCTCTGGGAGCTCTTCTCTGGTGATTAACTGCTTATGGTGAATACTAATTACATGAAAGTACAGTATTGAAGAAGTAAAGTTCTATTTCCTCTACCTGCAGCCTCGACTTGTCTCTGAATCTAGAAGGCAGAGCCATTGCAATCCAGAACCAAGAAAGACATTTTCTTCCCCCTGAATAAACAAACATATCTCCTACTTTTTAGTATAGCACAGCTCACTGACAAAAAACTTCCTTTAACCCCTGGGCTCTAAACCAAATATAATTACCATAAAATGAGTGTTTTAAAGGCTTGTAATAATGATATGGATAAATCCACAGCAAGAGTTTGTGATTTAGTGAACTATCAGTGTCCTCCATTCCCCATGTCCCATGTTGAAAATTTACCCCAAATTGTCAGTTCTTAGGAACTGCACCTCAGATTAAAATCTTCTCACCAGGGAGTCTATGAGAATTTCTTCTTGTGTTTTAAATCCTAAGTGCTTGTTAAACCACCAACACTGCAAAATTAGAGACCATTAAACAATATAAGGCAGCAAGTGATTAAATCTACCAAACACACATTCAAGCAGCTTAAGCTATTTTTTAATGAAAAATAAAATATCATTGGCTAAATTCAGATGTCTTAGCTATCCAGAAAAAAGTCAGAAGGCTGTTCAAAATGCATAATGTTGCTGACAAGCCAGATACAAAAGGAGAAATAGGGCAAGGGTTTGGCGGAACAGGAGGCTCCTCTTGGTCCCTGGGCCTGGGTGGCAGCACATCCCAGTGCTGACCCGGTTTAGGCAGCGGACTCTAAACGGGAAGTCATGGCTGCGCTGCAGGGTGAGGACACCATGTGGCTGCTGATTAAATAAGCTTTATTAGCTAAGGCCTCCAAGGAGACAGGGTGTTCCACCTTCTTGGCAAGGGAATGAGTTGAGTAACAGCATCGCAGGAAGCTAAGGCATTAGAGATGTATACATGGCTGAAGGAAATGTCAGTGCTATTTTTAAATACAGCTTAAGCTAATTGATAAACATTTCTTAAAATAATTATTAGCTTTTGGGGAAGGAGGCACAGGGGCTTCTGAGTTAATGGGATCATCCCAGATTAAAAGAAATTTTTACTGTAAAGTTAGAAGTAAATAAACATTGTAGCTTTAAGTTGTTCCTACTTGTTTAAAGTAAAGAAAAAGGGCCAGGGGGCTTAGTCAACTTCAGGCAAAAGGCCAAGAATCTGAAGATCAGACTTAAGGCTGGGATGATATCATTCACGCTAAAGTCTTGATACCCTTTCTGAAGCATGAGAAAATTTACTGGTAAAACCTTACCTCACCCACAGTTTTCTTATTTTTAACTCTATTTTTTTTCCTCTGGAGAATAATTTTCCGAATATGCTTTTTGCTTTATATGTAAATGTTATAAATTTACTTTGAGCTTCAGACATGGTCTTACCTAAAAAGCTTGCCCTAAAGTAAAGTACAGGCACTTGGTAGCTACAGGAATATAAGACATGATACTCATATTTAATCACTTTGGACACTGCTGCAGTTTCAATCACTTCACAATCATCTGAGGGTAGCTCGAAAGCCTCCTGAAAAAAAGCAAAAACAAAATGAAAATGGGTTTGTTAATAAGAAAAGTACTAACATGGAGAGGAAAAGAGGAGATTTTCTTCTTGCAAAATAACAGTTAAATAAATATAAGGCTATGAGACAAGGAAAAGGGAGTTTCCCATATTAATGTTTAACATTTGAGTCCTGGGTAAATAGTAAAACCAGAAAACATTAGCATTAAGTAATTCCAGATTGTTTTTGAGACACAAAGAAGCTCTCTTTATAAAGAAAAAGAAAGGAAAAAAATAATCCAAAAAGATCTATTGCCTGAAAAATCTTTACTGTACAATTTTAGCAACAAGATGATGGCTATACAAGCTACCTTCTTCCCTACCTGTGAAAGCTAAAAACATCCTAACAATTGAACAAGAGGCTGTGAAATGTCCCTAAAGATTCTATTGTACTTGCCAAAAGATGATTCATTGTGTGCTGAACAATTCCCAGTTCCATTTTGAATAAGAAAGTTATTTTGCAAGAGGTTGAATTTGTTAGGTATATTTCAAAACCTGAGATGATTCTGTTTTCCTCATTATTGTGCTATCTTTGGCATATTTCTACAATAAATCTTGATTTATAATAGAGTAAATGGCAAATATTAATGTCAACTTTGGAAACAGTTTTGTAAGCAGAGATGATGATAGTCATCTCACTTCTCACGTGATCATTTTTTACTGTTTTTTGTTGGGGGCCTTTAAAAGAATGTATCTTACTGTTTAGAAGCAATTAATTGGACATGTTGAGTCAGAGTCTGGTTCCATCCACATTCACTTATTTATTGGGGTTGAAGAATTTCCTTTGAAATTAAATTAGTACTAGAAGGAATGAAGCAGGTTGGTTTAGCTCATTTCTACCTCTCATTAAAATAGTAACAACAATGAACAATCAGAAATAACTAAGGAAAGATTTCACACTTTATCAATATGAAATAAGGTTTCCTGTGGAGATAAGCAAAGCCCCAGACTACTTTCAAGATCTGTATCTCCTTTACAGATAATTCTGTAATTCCCTACTCACAGTCAGTTCACTGGGGAGATATTACAATGGATAAATCACAACTGGAGATGTTTACAAAATATTTTTCACTAAACTCCAGTAAACACCATCAATTAAACACAATAAAATAACCAGAGAGAAATCATGGAAATAAATATGCCAGATACAGAAAATTAATACAGTAGCAAGAAAAAGATTTTTGTATTTTGTTTTGTTTTTAAATTTTCATTAGGCATAGGTATCTGTACCTTCTATTACATCAATTCTTTTAACCAAATTCTTTCTTTTTGGTTAATAATTGGGTTGCTTAGCATTTATAATTTCCTTTCTTTCTTAATATTATAAAATAATTCTATCTTGGTGGTAAAAATTACAAATATTGCACAAGTACATAAAAGAAAAAATGAAATTCCCCTCATCCCAGCACTCCTATACCTCATATACATCATTAACAGGCCAGAGTATATTTTTTTAGACTTTTTGATTTTTGGCACACAAACACATAGACACATATACACCTCCTCCCCACCCCGGCCCCTGCTTAAATCCTGCTATATATACATATGATCCTAGAGTGGATATTTTCACTCATGGGCATCCTGCCACGTGCTGCCAAGTCACTGCTATAGATTTAGTGCCTTTTAATGCCTTCTCTATATTTCACTGCATGACCACACCATAGTTTTTTTTTTTTTTTTTTTAACATTTCCATATTGCTAGATAATTTAGGTTGATTATAGTTTTCTGCTACTGACAAATAAGGCTGCAATGAGTATCACAGCACATATACCCTTGCACACCTCTATTTTTTCTATGGTGCAGATTCCTAAGGGTGGAATCACTGTATCAAAGGGTATGAGCATTTTAAATTTCAAGAGATACTGAATCTCAGAAATTCCATCCTCAGAAAAAGGCTGTATCAATTTATATTCCCAGCAAAAATGTCTGAGAATGCTCTTTTCCTATGTCCAATAAATACTGAATATTGTTTTTAATTTTTGCCTACTGATGAATTTTTAAGTATCAATTTCGTATTGTTTTAATTTCTAGTTTCTTGGTTACTTACTAGTGAAGGCAAGCAGCTATTCATATGTTTATTGGTAATTTGTATTCTCCCATGATTTGCTTGTTTTTACTCTTTACTATTTTCTGATTGTTTGCATTTTTCTTATTGAATTATATAAACTGTTTGTATATTGGAAATAATAACTTACTATTAGAAATATGTATGTCTGCACCATAGAAAAATAGAGGTGTGCAAGAATATATGTGAAATATAGACATATGTACACACATATATATAAAACACTTCCTGTTTTCTTTCAACTGTTTGTTGTACTTTTTTATCAAAAAGGGTTTTTTAACTTTTACGTAGTCAAATCTGTACATTTTCTGTTTATAGCTTCTAAGTTACATGTCTTCATCAGAAGGCTTCCTGCTGTATCCCATCTCAGTCTTACAAATTATAAAGATGTTAAATTTCTTTACTATATACACACGTTTTTAAACTAAAATTTAGATCATTAATCCAACTGATTTTTGTTTTATATATAGTGTGAGGTAAGAAATTTTCCTAGATGATTTCAATAGTTCATCTTTTTTCCACTGATTTTAAATGTCACCATACCTCTCTCTCTCTCTCTGTGTGTGTGTGTGTGTATGTGTGTGTGTGTGTGTGTGTGTGTGTGTGTGTTTATTCTCTAATCTTCTCTATTGAGCCATTTCTCTTCTTAGACCATCACTGTGCAATTCTTAAGTGCATACTGAATCGAAGGATTTGGGTCATTAATTTCTACAGAAAAGTGCAGAAATAGACTGTCTGAGACCCAGTGCTGCTAGTAAAGATACAATTTTTGGAAAAAATTTCTTCATCCAAACTGAAATTAAGCACTCAGGAATGTGCTGGGGTTGACATCAGGTATGTGAAACTGGTGATCAATTAGGCATAGATCCATATTCTCTAGGAGGCTCAAGAAATAAGAGGGAGAGGACAGAACAAGCTTCTTGAAAATCCTGTTAGAAGTCTCACTCCAGTCACTGTTCTCACTGGCAGCTGAGTGCCTTTGTGGGTTGTGAAGGCCAGGGATACTTGTCCTCTAATTAGGACTGCTACTATGTCACCCAGTGTTGCTCTGGGCAGTCATCTACGTACAGTGACATTTTTGCATGCTTTACTCATATTAGATGAATTTGAATCCTTCGTTTGTGTCTGCTAGGATCTTTCCATCATTTGTGGTCACCTTTATGATGACCATGAAAATATCATTCCTTGAAGTCATGCAATTTGGAAATCTCAGACTTCTACACATTTTCTGCTTTTATTTTCCGGTTAAAAGTGCCAGATGGTTTTAGAACTTCAAGACTAAGGTTCTTCTCTTACTCATTTTTGTATTCCTGGAGATTCTAGTACAGAGCTAAGAACCCTAGTAAGCAACATTTTCTATTTCAGTCTGAAGATCTGTTTCCTCCTATGTAAGTACATTATAACAAACTTCATAGGTTTACCAGCAATCTCACACCACCCTAAAGACTAAAAAGAAGTAAATGGAGGAGCAGAGATGCAAAATATCACCAAAGAGGATATTCCAATGACAAATAAGCACATAAAGAAGATATTCAATATCCTTAGCCAGTCAGGGAAATATAAATTAAAACTATAACGAGGTATCACTAAACATCTGTCAGAATGGCTAAAATAAACAAAATAGTGGACACCACCAAATGTTGGTGAAGACAGAGAAACTAGATCATACATTGCTGGTTGGACTATAAAATGGCGTATAGCCTCTCTGGAAAACCACATGACAGTTTCTCATACAAGCAAACATATAATTACCACACAACCTACCAATTGCACTCAAGGATTTATCCCAGAGCGTTGAAAAACCTATGCATGAATGTTCATAGCAGCTTTATTCAGAATAGCCCAAAATTTGAAACAATGAGGTGTCCTTCAACAGGTCATGGTTAAACAGACTGTGGTACATCCATACCATACTATTTAGAAATAAAAAGGAACAAACAATTGATATACACAACAACCTGGATGAATCTCCAGGGAATTATGCTAAGTGATAAAAGTCAATCTCCAAAAGTTATATACTGTGATTCCACTTATATAACATTTTTGAAGTGACAACACTTTTGAAGTGAAAACCAGCAGATTAGTGTTGGGGGACTGGAGGGCAGAGAGCTGGTTATAACATGGCACCATGAGATATCTTTGTGGTGATGGAACTATTCTGTATCTTGACCATGGTGGTGGATATGTAAGCCTACACATGTGATAAAACTGTACAGAACCAAATACACAGACACAGATACACACAATGAGTACAAGTCAAACTGGGGAAATCTGAATAAGGTCAGTGGATTGTATTAATGTCAACATCCTGGTTCTGATATTATACTATAGTTTTAGAAGAAGTTACCACTGGCGGATATTGGGTAAATGGTAGATGGGATTGTTATTTCTTATTACTAAATGTGAATCTATAGTTATCTCAAAAAATTTCAATTAAGAAATGGAAAGCATAGGAACAGTGAGGCAATTTGAGGCTTGTTAAAAACTGAATAAAAATGTTAAGACCTCAAGGTGCTAATAATACAGATAACAGAGGGATCCTGTTAATAAAGAGAGTCTAATGTCTGGGATTTGTTTGAAAATAATACAGGAGAAGGGTAAGTGGATGGAAGTGTAGAAGGAGCATGACTGGCATGAGGGGTGATTGCTGAGATTGTTTGATGAGTCCCTGGGTGTTCATTATACTGTTCTATCTACTTTAAGGAGTATTAAATTATTTAAAATAAAAAATTAAGATTAAAAAGTTTCTGATACCATGTTACAGAACACAGAATGAAGAGAATTCTAATAGTGAAAGAAACCTGAATCATTCCACCTAGTCCAACACGCTCATCTTGCAGATACAAACAACAATACCCTTCTTGTTGGTGCCTTACCCAATGCCACCTAGGTACAGTAGTT